AATTCATGTATTCCATTTTGAATATGATGCATTATACTTAGAAATAAATCAATAATAAAATAGAAAACATCGTTAGTTTTTGTTCTAGTCCGACAGTCAGTTGATTATTTGTGTTCGTTTCCTGTTCCGACTTGTTAATCTGTTATTATCATTTACCAAAAACTTAGGTTTAATAATAGACTTAAAAACAGAATAAAGTAGAATGAAACTATACATGGATTAGAAGAACATGGTTGAAATTCTATTTGATACACAGACAGATAAAATGACTACCTTTCAGTGATATTCTTCGGATAATCTAGTTGACAGATGATCCTATTCAAAGTTACTTATCCCTTTACATTACCACTAGTACAATATCGATGTTTCTATGTGGCTAAATAAGTAATTTTAAATTATTGTAATAACTTTAATTGGTGGATGGTGACTAGCAGTGGAATCCAGGATGCGCGTTTCGTCATGTTTGGGACTCGTCATCTGGATGTACTTGCATTTCCCGTTGCACAAGAGGTGGCTTTCATGGCCCAAGTGGTCTAGTGGATAACGCTTTGGCGTTTGAAACTATGGGCACTGGGTTCGAGCCTCAGTGGGAGCATCATCACTCGTTGAGAAATGCAGGCACATCCAGCCGACGAGTCCCAAATAGGACGAAATGCGCATCCTGGATTCCACTGCTAGTCACCATCCCCCAATTATAAATACTTATTAAATGACCAGACATCGTCGAAGCATCTGCACAAGAAGCCGACATGTCAACCAGAGACCGAGCACTTCGGTCCAATCAGTCGAAGGAAAAATCAAAAATTCAATTAAATATTGTAATAACTGCAAACCAGCATCATTCCAACTACAAAGCGAGATACTAAGTCACTGAATAGTGAAAATCCACGACGCCTAGCCGAACTAATACAAATACCATAAAATTAGACAGTAAACACATTACCACCCACTCAGTAGTTTGGGATCAGATAGTATTTTTTTTAAAACTTTCCGTCATTTGCCATTTGACACCGACATTGTCAAAAACAATGGAGATGAAGCTGGCCTAAGAGACTTCACTTGGTTGTATTTACCATTCCAAATAATAGTTGCTAAATAATATGGTAATTGTCATTTACCCTAGATTGAAATGCTAAATTCCATAAAGATGACTAGGTCTATGCTAAAAATAGCACTATGCGAAATAGTTGACATTCATAACAAAATTATATCACATTTGTTGATCGAAATCCGATCACTGAATACAAAAATATACCTCTTACGTATGTCAGTTCAAATTTTCAAAAATAAGTAATCTAAAAGTGAAGGCAAATGAAATCAAGAGCAATAGAGTAATACTCAAACGAATTTTCCACAAATTTTTGATCAGTTTCAGTTTAGATTTAGTCATGAAGCGAAGTAAATTAGAGGATCACTGAAAATCATGGAGTATTAGACAGGTGAATCGTTTTAATTTCGGGATCTTCATCAGTGTTCATCAACAAGCTCACCAGAAGTCGAATCTAGAACCTTTGACCACTCATTTACTGGGCTGGCCTCATAACCTGAAATTCCTGGGTTCCACCTCTGGCTGGTGAACACAGCTAATGAATAACAAACCAGTTTATCTTTTGAAGAATGAATGACGCATAAGTTTTTTTCCTTTTTTTAACCAAGACAGTAGCAGGAATGTAGACACCAGCTCAGAGAACACAACTAAATTAAAATGTTGACACTAACTAAAACAAGGCGGTTAATTCACTTACTGCGTTAAATATAAATAAAAATCTTTATTTGCACTAGTCTTTCAAACAAATCTGAAAACAAAGGTGGAAAATTTCATTTCCCACGAATTATTTTCAAGAGTTGTACAATTTTATTGATTTTTACAAGTTGATCACAGATTTATATCAGTTAGAAAACCATTGAAAATCAGCAAGGAGTACTGGACAGCTGTTTCATCCGAGTTTGGAAATCGTCGGCAGTACGCACCCACGCTGTGGAGTTCAAACACAGGACCTTCCGGTTACAAGGAAAGCTCGTATACCATTCAGCTACTGCGACCCGATTCAATGGCTAGCCCATGAATTCTAACTTCTACCAATTCATGATTTAGCGCGAACACCAACCAATGTCATCGGTGGGACAACCATCCTCACACTTGACTGGTTGAACTTCACTGGTCATGACTTCTCACTAGAACTTCAGGAAACTCCATCCTGTAGCAAGTCACTAGTGAGCATCAGATTAATTTTCTATAGTTGGTTTATAAGGATTATATTTGTTTTTACGAGTTGATCACGGATTGATATCAATTAGAGAATGGTATACAAGACTGCCTTGTAACCGGAAGGTCTAGGGTTCGAGCCCCACATTGTGGGTGCGTACTGCCGACGATTCCCAAACTAGGATTAAACAGCTGTCCAATACTTCTTGCTGGTTTTCAATGGTTTTCTAAGTGATATCAGTCCGTGATCAACTCGTAAAAACAAATCTAATCCTTACAAACCAATTATTAAAAATTGTATTCATATTTGATAAAGGATTCATAAAACACTGCTAGTTATGTTCTGTGTAGTCCAAAGGTCAGTATGCCTAAAACTAACATGGACTGGATAGTTCATTAACATCCACTGATCAAATAGCAAATCCTTGTACGCTTATTATGCTCAGGGATTTTAAAAATCTGCTCAGAAGATACACTAGACACTGAATTGAAATCTCTACGTGATACCATTTTAGAAAACGGATTATCCACCTAGATTTATTCTGAAAAATATAAGAAGAAATCAGCTATTGGGAATATTTCTAAGAAAACTCTCTTCATAAACAAGCAGAGATTTTTAGAAACCACCTTTTCAAGTGTTTGAAAAAGATATTTCAAGCAGCCATCTTACGAATCAGGTTATCCAGAGGACAGTTAGTCCAGTCCTGTACTAAGGACAAAATGCCGCTTTTGCCCGCCACAATGTGTTATCGCCATCATTTACTTGTTCCTGTGGGGCAGAAATAAAGGTAATCTCGTCAGCCTGGTTAGCCAGTGGAGAAAACAGCCGTACAAAAAATTCTATCCATCAAATTTGAAAACAACTTTCGTCATTTGAAACTCATCGCTTCTATATATTTTCACTTAGACTTGTTTGATGCAGTATTAACTCCCTTTTGCCTAACAGTTTGTATAATTTAAGCAGATATTCACTCAATCTGACTTATGTAAAATAAATGGAAACATCGATAGCTTGAATATGCGGTAGTCATCTAGTAATTTACTTATTACCATACGAATTTCTAGAAACCTGATAGTTGTGTAAATCTGTATCCAAGCGTTAACCTCCTTTCACAACCGTTTAGTAACAAGAAAACGAAGCAGTACTCCATAACTAATTATATCTATAAGTAGTTAGCAAGCTGTCACACTTACTGTATGAGGAGTGGTGACATTAACTGGCTATCAAAATCCACAGCTGGAACTCTTGACCCACTGAATGAAAGTTCAGCAGATAAACCAATTTAACCTGTGTAAAACTTATGGAACTAATATGTATACTTTATAATTATGTTATATTGTAGATACAGGCCATGTGAATGTAGTGGACCAATTATCAAACGATGTAATAGAATTGAAAATGAGTGTTGAAACACTTAACTTGTACCCTTAGTCCGATAGCCTAAATGTGTATCTCTTGCAGTCAGAATAATTCAGTTTCACCTCGCTTCATGTTCTTCCTGATGGGTTCTAGAATGTTGAGTCGGTTGGTTGATTAATGTGTGTGGTCTTTCCTGGTTTACAGGCGAAGCTACTCCTCGAGCTGTAGTTAATAATTACACCTGTCCCATTGACAGCAGAGTTAATTTTGCGATTTTACAATTTAGGCCGCTTTTAGACGGTCTCTTAAACGCATTCATTCTATTCAGGTTTATCTTGCTATATATATTTTTCATATTTTATTTGATAAACTCGTAATCAATATCACCAATTGGCTTCAGTCACAGTTGATTGAATGCATTTGTTACACAATGAAGAGCAGATTCACTCATCGATTTTCCTCTCATTTACATAATAAATATTTACTGAATTTACCTTCTAAATTGGAGAAGCAGGTATTTTATTAACAAAAGCATTAAACTAACATAGCACTATGATATATGAGAATAAACGGATTTCCTAGAAGACTTATGCTAGCGAGCATTAACTGCCTTCTTGTTAAGCTGTATTTACCAGTGATACTGACGAAAGTGTTAGTCCCTTCTTAATGTTACGAAATGCTTATTTTTGATAGTTACATCGCTCTTCCAACTAACTGTTTGTCGAGTATGAGGAAACAAAATAATCACTGATAGAGTTTTATGATCATGAAAAATAGCATAAATGCAGCCAAGTCAGACTATTCAAATACATTCAGATCCACCAGTAAGACGATAAAGTGATATAGGAACATAGTGGTTCATATTCAAATATATAAAAGGCCTGAAAAATTTAATCCACTACACGATGAGTTAACTCTCTCCACTGTTAATGAGAAATCTGCCTCATTCAGAAAAACCGATCAGTCCAGTATTTTACATGTCTAAACGTGAGGTTCATTTAAAGGATTGGCATGTTGAGGTCAAACAAAAAGGCAGTCCATAAATTCTCTCACCCCACACTAGCAGTATAGACTAGCCTACTCGTATGTTAATGTAAATGAAACAAAGCCATGATTTGCATGCTTTTGTTTCGACCACATAATTCCAATTGGACAAAAATATATATGGGTCAGGCTTTCAGCCCATGACTAACTTTTATCTGCCTCCTATTGGTTAGAAAGTCCACCCCTGTTACGAATTGTCTGAAGTGAATTAGCAATCAAGGTCTTAACTAATTAACCAATCATATTGTAGATGAAAGTCTGAGTCATGTAAGACTAGTGGCTGCCATGCTGGATAAAGTTTATTGGGCAATGCCATTTTCACTTTGAATATCAGGCTAAAGCGGTTCATAGCTTATCACGCAAATTTTATAATAAGCTTGTACCTGGAATATGGGTGGAAGATCAGGAAAATTTGTTGTACCTCATACGGAAGAGAAGGCCGGAGATAGTACCTCTAAACCGGTAAGTCCTCTTTTATAGCTGTTTCAGATTCATTTTCTATCAGTAAGTAGAAGTAGCTTGTACACTTATTCGGTTTATAATTACGAATAGGATTATTTTACATCAACATTGGGAAAATGTTGAATTCATTCTTCACAAGGATATACGATTTACGTAGACCTATAGTAGGTTGTGTGGCATTTAGAGCATTATCGTTTGCGTTACTCTTAACCTGCATTTTATTTTTTGTCTTTGCGAATACGGCAATTTTTCGTACTTCGCTTAGTTAGGAGTTAGTAAATTATTAATAGGTAATAACGTGTAACAGTGTGTAGCATTGTGAGATGGAAGTACTAACACTTTCCGGTTGTTGTTGGGGATTCCATAGGATTCGATAGGGTTTCCCTTTTCACGGTGTTTAATTCATATACATTTCTGATGTCGATATTCATTTACCCTTGAAATATATGCTTTGTATAATCGCAGTAGTGTTACGTATTACTTATTATTAATGTTTCCTAACCAGATTTCTGTAGCAAACGTAATTACTTTTCTGCTGTCTATAGTTAGGTTATGTACTCGATGAAATATCTGCCATAGATATCATAATGAATTTATGTCCGGTTGGTAAACTTGAGCAAAGTATGCAGGATCTATAATTACATGCAAATCAGCGACAATAGAATTTTCCTATTCCATTGAGCTGATGAAAGTCAGTCGACACTTGACATACCCTCATTAAAGACCCATTTAACAATATCTATCGTCCTTATGTCATACAATGTCAAAGCCTTCGACTACTTCCTTCATTATTGTTTTATGATCTAGCATAGTCATGCTCGAGCTTTTCAACTTTACTGCATATCTATATTTGTCCAAATTTCGATCTTTAATCATTTTTCTCCAGATCAGTACGAACTCAGCCTTAAAGTTTGTTTTGAACCTAGTCTGGCAAAATCTTTACGAGTGTAGTCGTCATTTTTTTCAACTAATTCTGGAAAATATCCTATGTTGAATTTTAATTCTAAGAAATGGTGTATCGAATATCTGAAACGCTGTCAGTAATCCATATCTGATTATGCGTATCAATGGACTACAGGCTCACACTTGTTAAGTAGTGAGGTTGTTTTTTAACCTTTTTTAACATGTAGATTCAAATCCTTTGACTTCGTGCATTTTCTAAGCATTTATTTTAGTGAGGTCCACTTAACTATCAAGCTTATTGAAAATTAATTTTAAAATACGTATACCACTGTTAGTGGACAAGGCCACCTTTCATGTTTAATAATTACTTCGAGTTCCTTACTCAGATAGGATAATTTGAAAATGTTTAAACTAGAGGAAAATAGTCAATCATTGTCACTCTATTTTATGATTAACAAAGTTAATCTTTTAAAATAAATTGCAGGTTATAGCAGCACAAAGTACTTCAAAATATGTGATAACCTGTAATTAAAGTATTTCCTAATTCACTATTATCAGTTGTTTAAAATGTTTTTTCACCCATGACTTATGGTTGCAGTCACTTGAATTTCTACGTACTGACGGCTGATGTGAACATCGTTTCATCTGCAACAGAGTTTCCACTAACCGAGTTATCAGTTGTTACTGTTGAGTGATACATCAAAGTTGGTATTGAGAAGTTCCACACTTAGATTATCGTTTTATTTATTTTATTACATCTTAGTGTTGTAAATAAATGATATTTGATTTAATTTTCTCATTTTCCCCGAAATTTTCGCTTCAGGAAACTATTGAACAAATCAAACCACTAGATACTGATCAACCAGTACAAGTAAGTCTTTTAATTCTTATTCGTTGCATGCGTACTATTTGTTTAATGTTAAACAAATGTCTATAAATCCACATAAGTGTTTGAGTTATAATATCTTTTAGCCAGTCATCCAGCACATCCTTATCATTTTATCCACTGTTTTCTCATTTATCGACCAACTAGCTATTAAATGGAGTTGTTACAGCTGGACCAGATGTCCCCAGCATAGATGAGTTGGCAGAGGTAGGCTTGTTAAACAGTTTCCAAAGTACTTTTGAAAAAAGAGAATTCTATGTCGGTACCGCTATTTTGACATTCGTTCCTAATCGTTCTTTACTCGCTTAATGTGCTTGCAGCTTAAATTTCTAATGAAAAACTCGTTGGTTATTTGTTCTTTGATGTATTTAATTAAATCTAATTGTGTATAGACTTCATGATAACCTGAAGTAACAAGGTGTTTTTGTATAACATTAATCGTTGGCTTTATTTGTTGCTATGGCAGTTATGATCAAAAATTGGTTGTTGCCAGATCACTAGAGGTTTTCGCACGTTTTAACTGTTGGTTTTTGGGGCAGGCCATTTTGCAACCTTACCCAGTTGCGTGCTGTTTCTTAATTGTCGATTTCACCCTAACATATCCTTTTTGTTTGTATTTTGATATATTTGTAGTCGACAGAGTGTGTGAAGCTTGAGAATGGTCACAAAGAAGATAAATCAGATGAAGAAGGTAATACTGAAGCAAACGGCAATGTTTGTAATACAGATAATCCGCAAGACACAGACAATAAACCATCTAAGAAGGGAAATCCAATCAGTCGAATTTTAAGACGTATATCCAAGAAAACTATTAGCTTTAAGAAAAATTCATGTGACAAAGGTTCTTCGGAGAAACCTGAGGATGTTCAGGATGAAACTAATAAGGAAGAAAATCCTGTGGATCCACAGTCTCCAGCAACTGCAGAAAATAATGATGTTGAGCCAGTTGTTGATAATTCGGTCTCCTTAGCTGCAGATAAATTAGTTCAAGACGTAATCCTCTCGGCCACTACTACTCATATGGAAGAAAGTCAAGCGTGTGAATCGGGACCCTGTGAAAATGGTGGTGATCATTTTCCTGAGACAAAACAGGCCCATGTAAGTTTTTACACTTGTCACTCTGATATTGATCAATGAAATACATGTAACTTATCTGTGTCTTTAAGTACTACTTTTTAGAGGAATTTCTCAAATGCTAGTATATTTAAGTACGCGAAATCAGTGTGTAATGTAGCCCGATAACTTATGTGGTAGCTTAGTGTAAAACTTTCTACACATTATGCATTTTCAATGTTACACCCTCTTTAATTATCCACGCATGATGAAGATTTAGGCGTACAATTATTATACCGACCTCTATCGGTTGACGGGAATTAATTGCTCTGTATTGAAAAAAGATACTGCCAAACAGTATGATTTTCTCATACGTTTATCAACACGACTGTTATACAGATTCTTGTGCTATTAATAGGTACAATAAGTTTTGTACCAAGTTATGTAGACTATAGCTTCAACTAATTATTCCAAACTATCAAATTTCAACGACTGATCACGGGGTCACAACCAATTTCACTTAAATAGGTTCTTTCAAGCAAAGAGCTTCATCAAGCCTCACCCAATCGACATATTTCAGTGTTAAGTGAATAATCGTTCATCTGGTCGAGTGTAATCCCACATAACATGAGAATTGAATAAAAAACCCTTCTTTCCAAAGTATTTATTTTTATGAAGTCTGAATAAACTAGTTTATTCCGAGTTTATATCTAAATTACTTATATGATATTTTTTCTGTCATCTCCCAGGAATTGTCTTCCGAAGTTGACACCTCATATGTCACTTCTAATGGTGACGATTCTTACATGCAAGAGGAGCCGGTAGTCGACTGTCAAATGAAATCCGAAGATGTTGTCGTTAACGGTGTCCATTCATACAATGGAGAGGTATGTGTATTGTTAGCTAACTACTTTTATCTATTCATTTTTGCTTGAACTTGTATCATCCTTTGAGCTCGAATTGCTCGTTTGTTAGATCTTGTGTTGATGCTACTACTACTCATATGCACAGGTTAAATTAGGTGAAGTGTGACTTGAACATGCAACTGAAAATCGAGTGTTCAATCCAAAGTGCAAAGTGTTGGTTTGTGTTTCTCGTTCCATGTGGCAAGAATTAAAGTATCACTGAGATTTTTTATTGTGCGGCAAAACTGGGTTTATCAGCTACATCGAATAGCTAGAATACATCCAGATAATTCCTATAAAGCTCAACGAATGTTACTATTAAGATAAATTGGAATAAATCGGTCCAAATTCGAGTAGGTGACCTCTGTCTTTTTGACATGCCCTATATTATACCAGTCATTTTATCATATCAAGAACTGTCATAGTAATTGCTATTGGCATAAGAATCCATCGTGTTATCACCTATTTGAACATAAAATGAGAGTACAGAAAAAAGTCCATAGTACTCGTTGGTTCTAGAGCTTTTACTGAAGTAACAATAGTACAGGATCAATTGCTTCAACGATCTACCTAGACGTTGTATTTCCTCCATTTACAATGTATAAATAATCTAATTTAGTTGGGTCAATATATTTCCAGAATCTCTATTAACCATTAGATGTAACGTAAACAGAGAATCGGTTCAACATACTTAATACTCTTATCCTGGCGAGGATGATATTTTGAAGATTCTTCAGCCCCATCAGTTGATGTTTATTCGTTGGAAACTACTCATGTTATCCAGTAGTACTTGCTTGCTAGATTGAAATGATCGACATTCATACACTGCTGAGTTTGTCAGTTCATCTGAGTCAGTTCAAATCGCCCGGTTTCTGACCACTAATTTTGTTGAAGTGGTGGTTTACACACAGAGTTGAATTCATCATTTCTGGAGTCATCACGATGTGCTGTGTAAAACCCCAAAAGTAGCAAGATATTCGCTCTCTTGATTATCAATTGTGTGATCTTAAGCGGACCCAGTATTCAAATGTAGGTATTTTAGATTTCTGTAGGAGAGCATGGTAATCTGCGTCAGTCTGTTTAGTTTGCAAATGACGAATTTCACAATAATTTATTTTCCAACCAAATTTTACCTGACTTCACGCACTTGATTATGTAGTTATGTTTGATATAATCCCTCAATGTGTTATTTTATTCAGATGGAAGAATTAAACACCAATAATACCAATGTGCACAATGATGACGGCTTGATCCAGTCAAAATTAGCAAACCTTGAATTAGTGAATGGACATGCTGAAGTCAATGGATTCCATTGTGAGACGACGACGACGCCATCAGAGTCAGTAGCAGTTGCCAACAACTATTAAGAGAGAGAGAGAGAAAGAGCAACGTCATCATCATCATCACCACCACCACCATCATGTAACATCTATTTTGTTAAGTGACTTTACCAATTTATCTCACAAATCAATATTATTTTCCATCTTTCTGTAACAAAGTTGATTGTCTTTTGTTTTGGATATTCGTTTCCCGTATATTATTCTTTTGTTTCAATACCTTTGGGACGCCTGTGACGTCACCGAAAAAGAATTGGGTAAGAACTTATTTTAAGTCTTCATTAAGTGTAAGTTTTATGAATCATTAGTAAATGTATCCAGGATAAGCATAAAATAACCTGTTAACACCTGACAGAAATATGTTAGTCTATAGCTTGCATGTCAGCTTAACTGTGGTTACCACCGCATCGTTATGATGTCTTTAAGCTTTAAGGTTTTCTGTAGTTGTCAGTTATATCTTGCTTGAATTTCTTCCAGCGACACGTGTCCCTTGTCACGTAAAGTAAATCACTCTTTCGCCTCAGTTATGGTTGAAAGCCACGTGGTTATTTTAGAAACTTCGAGCATAGCTGGAATAACTCGTTACTAACACTGGGACGTCAACACAGTCTTCGATGTGTACTCCTAAACGTCATTTTGTAGATACCTGGCGTATTCTAATGGCTGAAGCATCTATCGGTTTCATTTCCATATTTATTACGCATGTCAGTGATAGATTTGACCTTCAAGTTTCAGTTTTCCGATACATCTTATGCTGCATATTACTTACTCTCTGCCTTCCCACTTTTTTATTTTAGTGTCCATTTGTTAACAACAACCTGAGTGCTGTCTTCGTCCGCGTGTTTTTGGTACAATTATATATTTGTATTCATCACATCACGTTTTTTCATACTTGGCCCAATTTTCAAAAGCAATCATGGCCAATAACTTTTATCCCTTCTACTATTGTATCTGTAAATTTCTATTGAGGATTACAATAATGGTTTTTTTAAAATGTGTGTATGCGTCGACTTCAATTTTCTAAAAAAATACTAATATTGACAAGTTTCCTACTTGGTTGGTTTTATTTCATACCATTTCTACTACTTGTTTCCTCGGAAGTAAACTACTGCTTTTCGGTTGCTTATAGTAGAGACTTCTCGCGTATGTACTTTACTCCCTTTCTCTCTATATATATGTCTTGCCTTCTCGAAAATCACATCAGATCGGCAAGATCTGATCACGTATATGATCTTTGACAACAACAAAAACAACATTTCCATTGACAATCTCAAATTCGAATTCTTTCTTTTAGAATGACGACGACTCTTCTATTTTATTCAAAAATAATGTCACCTTGATTTATTCACTATTAATTTTGAAATGTACGAAATACTTTAAAGAATTTGTGTTAGTTTTTTTAAATCTTCATCGCTTGTATTCGATTATTTGGTTTTAGAGTACGTTAGCTAATGCCTGCCCAAATTCATCACATGCTTCATGGTTGGATTAGCTGCTTAAGTAGTATCAGGTCAGCGAATCAGTCAACGAATAAACGGAGGTTGATTAGAAGCCTGTCGCATGTACTTCAAGATCCGTAAAGCGGGTGTTATGAACTTTTTAAAGAGATGATCAGTAAAACGTCATCATCTTTCAACTTTGCGAATCGTTGTTCACAATGCTAGTCTAGTAGTTCACTTCAAAAGTATTTGATCACTCACTAACAGGAAACAGCTGACATAGATCCTTTTCGGAACGCATAATGGCGATGTTCATTTCCATTAAGTGGGAAATGCAAGCTTTTAGCTCTAGGTGTTTATTTCCAATGTTAGGGTAACACCTTTTCGAATAGGCAGTGCTTACAGATGTGAGTATAAAACCTGGGCACTGTAGTAGAGTATAATTCCATTATAGATAAGATGTGTTGCACGTTGATATTCACTGATGACGTTTGGAGCACAATCTATTGCTCATAATTATATCAAGGTACTCACACAACGGTTTTGCTTCGCTTATATACATGAGTGAAAATCGATTAGACATATGCATAAAATCAATGTAAGAAAAAGTACATTCAGAAATAATATTAGTATTATCAATCAGGTGGGAAATAAGGTTTTTTTATAGTAAAAATAAGTAACTTGTTAGAACGTTATAATGTGATTTGAATACCTAACATTATTTATTATTCTCCTCTGATTTGGCTGGTGGTAATCATATCTTCCATATCTCTGGTGTTTGCGTTGAGTCATCTCTGCTGCATGTGTCGGGAGGGTGTGTGTGTGTGTAGATTCGAGGAACCAGGATTCAGTAATCAATCTTTCTCTCCACCTGCCTATATTACCCCTTAGAATTTTGACTTTGCCCCACCCTATTGCGTGGTTGTGTGTGTTAATGCACAATAAACGAAGAAGTTGACAACAATATTTCATCTTCTTTTGACAAAACAAAGTGGGTAATCAACTTTTCTTCAAGAGAATTAAGCTCTAGTGAAATAAAACCACTTGAAAAAGGATTAAATTTCAATGTAACGGTTAGCAAACTAAAACCAGAAGATGTCATCCCTAACATAGAAGTAGCATTAAGTTCAATAGATAAGACGACAACAGAGGAGGTTCGAACTCAATGTGCATTCACTCTTAAGAAACAAAGGAAAGCACAGTCAGACTTAACAAAACCGGAAAGATTAGGTTTAATTAATCTTAAAAATGATGAAAACATCGTCGTCACAAAAGCTGATAAAGGAAAATCTACGGTAGTTTTGGTTAAATCTGATTATATAAAGAAAATCACTGAACATATTGAGACGGGTCTGTATGAGGAAATTATGAAGCCTGTAGATAGATTAATGAATAAGATTAAGAAATCTACAGCGGATTTAATACGTAGTATGAAGCTGTCACTAGTTGAGCCTAGATGGTGTAATCTAATGCCTAAAACTAATAACGCTAATAGAATATATGGTACTATAAAAATACACAAACCAGGTAACCCCATAAGACCAATAGTGGATTTCAGAAATACACCAACACGAATTATTAAAACACAGCTCTGATACTATGTCCCATTAGAAATCGTTCAAACTCCAGAGTAACTAATTCATATGCAATGAAAAAGAAACTAAATGACATTCAACTAGAGAATGATGAAAAAATGGTCAGTTGAGACATAACTGGTCTTTACGCTAATGTGTCAATCAATATGGCCTTAGAAGCGGTTAAAATAGAACTAACTGCGGATCCTGAACTTACTCATAGGACGAAGCTGCCCATTGAGGAAATTAATTTAGGAATTCAGTTATGCCTGACATCTACTATCTTTAAATTCCAGGGCAAAATATATAAATAAACAGATGGTGTAGCGATGGGATCACCACTATCCTCTATCGTAGCGGATGTCTTTATAGACAGCTGGGAAAATATTGCTCTAAATACATTTAATCCTACTCCAGAAATATAGGTGGAGATATATTTGGATGACACTTTCAGGGTGCTAAAAACACTGATTTAATATGATTATGAGCAATAATTTGTAAGTACTACTGTACAACACTGTGTGATTTATCAAAATAAAATCTTATCTGTAATGAAGCAGTGCTTACATTTGAATTAATGGTGAGCATTGATGGTGGTGATTACCACCTGAACATCCAAAACTACTAGAATCAGATTTATAAGTAATGTATGAGCCAGAAGTTTTCAAATGTCATTGGATACCGAATTATTTAGTAGAAGTCTACCAGACGCTTCAGTTATGTGTGTGGAAGTATTGATTGGTGCGAGTGCTTTCCGACTGTTATCAGTTAACAGTAGAGACCGGCTTGTGATCGTGCAACCACTCCAACAGTTCGATATTTTGTGGTTCGAACACTTGGGGTTTCTAAAATGAAAGGCGACGTTTCTCATAGAACTATGCAGGAGACAAATTTTACTTTATTTAATAGGGAATATTGTATAATCGATCATTTGTAAATGCTTATTTATACTGATTAACTGAATGCATTTGGATGGTTATTTAGTTTGAGTAATAAACTTATACCTTCAAATTGTGTATATAAATATTCGATGAAGAGATTGCACAATAATGAGTCGATATGAAATACATTTATTTACATAGAACTCAAATATTTATACTCAAATGTTTGTATCATAACTAGACTTTTAGAAGGTCTTCATTTTAAATTCACTTAAAGTTAACTGTCGCATTTAGCCATTTGAAGTTGCGTGCGAAAAGGATTCTGACTGACATACGTAAAAAAGGGGCTTTAACACAAAACTAGTAGAGAAATTCTATTTCCAGTCTTAAATGCTAATTAGAACAGGTTAGCCGACGGTTTAATAGGCGCATGAAACCTGCATTCAGCAGTGCTTATCAACTTGCAACGTGCAAATAGTTTGGAGTGAAAAGCGATCCAGTGCAGTTTCTTATCATAGATGAACAACTGGGAAATGGTGACTGGTTGATTACTCGGCGAACCATAAGTAGCTAAATAAACGAGTCGTCACGACAGGTTCATTATTGTCTAAATCGCTGGTTCATTCGGCTAACTGTTTAGATATGGATCACGGAGGTCACAACTTTATTTTTGTCTTCTTGGAACCTGGTAACCACCAGTCAGATGTTAGGTGACTATTCCACTATTTGCAATTAATAGTGTTCTCTGAGCTGGTTGGTTTAGTTGCAAATCATCCACCTGAGTTACAAATCTTTTCTATTATTCCACTATTTCTTGAATCCTGAAAATATGTCCATTAAGAGCCATCATAGAGATCTCTTTTCGTAATTTCACTTCAATGCTGTACAATTATTTTGGTGTTTGTCTTCTTAAATATTTAGTGTTAGTCAACAACAAAGGTCAGAGGTTATTGTCAGTTGGTAACCACGTGAATAAAGTGAGTAAAACTAATGCTTGAATAATCGTGGATAAAGTTTGACCACGAATTGATATCATTTAGAGGACCACTGAAAACCATGGCGATCCGGACAGCTGTTTCTACTTCGTTTGGGAGTCATCGGCTAGTGACTGGTTACAGGGAGAAGTTTTTAAAGAGTTCTAGTAAGAAATCGTGATCAGTGGGATGAGGTCCATCCTGTTGGGAGTCAGGACGAATATTCGCCGAGGACATTAGATGGTGGTCGCGCTAAAATCACTAATTCATTCAGGTTCTTATAGCTGAATGCTTTCTGAGCTTGCTTTGTGAAGAGTAGGTCCTGGGTTCGAATCCTGGAGGTGTGTACTGCCAATGAGCTTCAAACTAGGACGAAACAGCTGTCCAGTACCCCGTCGTTTTCAATGGTTCTCTAACCGAAGTCAAACCTGAAACAGACCAAATTTCTAAAAAAGTCCCTCTTGAAAATCGCAGATAGTCTTGCGTAGCCAGAAGGGTTGACAACTAATTAGTTGAGTGATGAATAATTGTTTAGAAATAAGTGATGACAAACAAGAGAAGAAAATAGTGAAATTGAGTTACAAAAATACAAGGACCACATAGAATTTATTATACAACAATTCGGGAAAATAAAAATTGACACCAAGGCCAGAGTAGTAAAACAGGTTGAATAAAAGGCTTCTGAACAAAAAAATATCTAGTTTTTCTTTATGGAAGTGGAGTTATGGTAGTCTGATGATGATGTATTTTAAATGCTGTATACTAATCATTACTCGTCTATACCTGCTCATAAAGCTGACTAAGTTTCGATATTAATATGATGAGTTATGATTGAAATTGAAACATGAGTCTTTACAACTCTCTCACTTTACGCTGACTGTACTTTGAAAAGTCACCAAACTAGCTGCCTGCCTAGTAAGAGTGAAAGAAGCCAGGATCAGTCATAATTGTTAAATTTTCGTCACGAATCAACATTTACAATGTCAAGGTGAACTGGATGGTCATCAAAGGCATTAGTAAGGGCAGCGCGATAAATAGAGAGTTGAAAAAGTTAGGATTCAGGAGCCAATGGATTCAAGCCCATGGCTGAATTGTCAACG